GGACAGGGGATAGGCAGGTAGAGATCGGACAGGGGATAGGCAGGTAGAGATCGGACAGGGGATAGGCAGGTAGAGATCGGACAGGGGATAGGCAGGTAGAGATCGGACGGGGGATAGGCAGGTAGAGATCGGACAGGGGATAGGCAGGTAGAGATCGGACGGGGGATAGGCAGGTAGATATCGGACAGGGGATAGGCAGGTAGAGATCGGACAGGGGATAGGCAGGTAGAGATCGGACAGGGGATAGGCAGGTAGAGATCGGACAGGGGATAGGCAGGTAGAGATCGGACAGGGGATAGGCAGGTAGAGATCGGACGGGGGATAGGCAGGTAGAGATCGGACGGGGGATAGGCAGGTAGAGATCGGACAGGGGATAGGCAGGTAGAGATCGGACAGGGGATAGGCAGGTAGAGATCGGACAGGGGATAGGCAGGTAGAGATCGGACAGGGGATAGGCAGGTAGAGATCGGACAGGGGATAGGCAGGTAGAGATCGGACAGGGGATAGGCAGGTAGAGATCGGACAGGGGATAGGCAGGTAGAGATCGGACGGGGGATAGGCAGGTAGAGATCGGACAGGGGATAGGCAGGTAGAGATCGGACGGGGGATAGGCAGGTAGAGATCGGACAGGGGATAGGCAGGTAGAGATCGGACAGGGGATAGGCAGGTAGAGATCGGACAGGGGATAGGCAGGTAGAGATCGGACAGGGGATAGGCAGGTAGAGATCGGACAGGGGATAGGCAGGTAGAGATCGGACAGGGGATAGGCAGGTAGAGATCGGACGGGGGATAGGCAGGTAGAGATCGGACAGGGGATAGGCAGGTAGAGATCGGACGGGGGATAGGCAGGTAGAGATCGGACAGGGGATAGGCAGGTAGAGATCGGACAGGGGATAGGCAGGTAGAGATCGGACAGGGGATAGGCAGGTAGAGATCGGACAGGGGATAGGCAGGTAGAGATCGGACAGGGGATAGGCAGGTAGAGATCGGACAGGGGATAGGCAGGTAGAGATCGGACAGGGGATAGGCAGGTAGAGATCGGACAGGGGATAGGCAGGTAGAGATCGGACAGGGGATAGGCAGGTAGAGATCGGACAGGGGATAGGCAGGTAGAGATCGGACGGGGGATAGGCAGGTAGAGATCGGACGGGGGATAGGCAGGTAGAGATCGGACAGGGGATAGGCAGGTAGAGATCGGACAGGGGATAGGCAGGTAGAGATCGGACAGGGGATAGGCAGGTAGAGATCGGACAGGGGATAGGCAGGTAGAGATCGGACAGGGGATAGGCAGGTAGAGATCGGACAGGGGATAGGCAGGTAGAGATCGGACAGGGGATAGGCAGGTAGAGATCGGACGGGGGATAGGCAGGTAGAGATCGGACAGGGGATAGGCAGGTAGAGATCGGACGGGGGATAGGCAGGTAGAGATCGGACAGGGGATAGGCAGGTAGAGATCGGACAGGGGATAGGCAGGTAGAGATCGGACAGGGGATAGGCAGGTAGAGATCGGACAGGGGATAGGCAGGTAGAGATCGGACAGGGGATAGGCAGGTAGAGATCGGACAGGGGATAGGCAGGTAGAGATCGGACGGGGGATAGGCAGGTAGAGATCGGACAGGGGATAGGCAGGTAGAGATCGGACGGGGGATAGGCAGGTAGAGATCGGACAGGGGATAGGCAGGTAGAGATCGGACAGGGGATAGGCAGGTAGAGATCGGACAGGGGATAGGCAGGTAGAGATCGGACAGGGGATAGGCAGGTAGAGATCGGACAGGGGATAGGCAGGTAGAGATCGGACAGGGGATAGGCAGGTAGAGATCGGACAGGGGATAGGCAGGTAGAGATCGGACAGGGGATAGGCAGGTAGAGATCGGACAGGGGATAGGCAGGTAGAGATCGGACAGGGGATAGGCAGGTAGAGATCGGACAGGGGATAGGCAGGTAGAGATCGGACAGGGGATAGGCAGGTAGAGATCGGACAGGGGATAGGCAGGTAGAGATCGGACAGGGGATAGGCAGGTAGAGTTCGGACAGGGGATAGGCAGGTAGAGATCGGACAGGGGATAGGCAGGTAGAGATCGGACGGGGGATAGGCAGGTAGAGATCGGACGGGGGATAGGCAGGTAGAGATCGGACAGGGGATAGGCAGGTAGAGATCGGACAGGGGATAGGCAGGTAGAGATCGGACAGGGGATAGGCAGGTAGAGATCGGACAGGGGATAGGCAGGTAGAGATCGGACGGGGGATAGGCAGGTAGAGATCGGACAGGGGATAGGCAGGTAGAGATCGGACAGGGGATAGGCAGGTAGAGATCGGACGGGGGATAGGCAGGTAGAGATCGGACAGGGGATAGGCAGGTAGAGATCGGACGGGGGATAGGCAGGTAGAGATCGGACAGGGGATAGGCAGGTAGAGATCGGACAGGGGATAGGCAGGTAGAGATCGGACGGGGGATAGGCAGGTAGAGATCGGACAGGGGATAGGCAGGTAGAGATCGGACGGGGGATAGGCAGAAAGAGATCGGACGGGGGATAGGCAGGTAGAGATCGGACAGGGGATAGGCAGGGAGAGATCGGACAGGGGATAGGCAGGTAGAGATCGGACAGGGGATAGGCAGGTAGAGATCGGACAGGGGATAGGCAGGTAGAGATCGGACGGGGGATAGGCAGGTAGAGATCGGACAGGGGATAGGCAGGTAGAGATCGGACAGGGGATAGGCAGGTAGAGATCGGACAGGGGATAGGCATGTAGAGATCGGACAGGGGATAGGCAGGTAGAGATCGGACAGGGGATAGGCAGGTAGAGATCGGACAGGGGATAGGCAGGTAGAGTTCGGACAGGGGATAGGCAGGTAGAGATCGGACAGGGGATAGGCAGGTAGAGATCGGACGGGGGATAGGCAGGTAGAGATCGGACAGGGGATAGGCAGGTAGAGATCGGACAGGGGATAGGCAGGTAGAGATCGGACAGGGGATAGGCAGGTAGAGATCGGACAGGGGATAGGCAGGTAGAGATCGGACAGGGGATAGGCAGGTAGAGATCGGACAGGGGATAGGCAGGTAGAGATCGGACAGGGGATAGGCAGGTAGAGATCGGACAGGGGATAGGCAGGTAGAGATCGGACGGGGGATAGGCAGGTAGAGATCGGACAGGGGATAGGCAGGTAGAGATCGGACAGGGGATAGGCAGGTAGAGATCGGACAGGGGATAGGCAGGTAGAGATCGGACAGGGGATAGGCAGGTAGAGATCGGACAGGGGATAGGCAGGTAGAGATCGGACAGGGGATAGGCAGGTAGAGATCGGACAGGGGATAGGCAGGTAGAGATCGGACAGGGGATAGGCAGGTAGAGATCGGACAGGGGATAGGCAGGTAGAGATCGGACGGGGGATAGGCAGGTAGAGATCGGACAGGGGATAGGCAGGTAGAGATCGGACAGGGGATAGGCAGGTAGAGATCGGACGGGGGATAGGCAGGTAGAGATCGGACAGGGGATAGGCAGGTAGAGATCGGACGGGGGATAGGCAGGTAGAGATCGGACAGGGGATAGGCAGGTAGAGATCGGACAGGGGATAGGCAGGTAGAGATCGGACAGGGGATAGGCAGGTAGAGATCGGACAGGGGATAGGCAGGTAGAGATCGGACAGGGGATAGGCAGGTAGAGATCGGACAGGGGATAGGCAGGTAGAGATCGGACAGGGGATAGGCAGGTAGAGATCGGACGGGGATAGGCAGGTAGAGATCGGACAGGGGATAGGCAGGTAGAGATCGGACAGGGGATAGGCAGGTAGAGATCGGACAGGGGATAGGCAGGTAGAGATCGGACAGGGGATAGGCAGGTAGAGATCGGACAGGGGATAGGCAGGTAGAGATCGGACAGGGGATAGGCAGGTAGAGATCGGACAGGGGATAGGCAGGTAGAGATCGGACAGGGGATAGGCAGGTAGAGATCGGACGGGGGATAGGCAGGTAGAGATCGGACAGGGGATAGGCAGGTAGAGATCGGACAGGGGATAGGCAGGTAGAGATCGGACGGGGGATAGGCAGGTAGAGATCGGACAGGGGATAGGCAGGTAGAGATCGGACGGGGGATAGGCAGGTAGAGATCGGACAGGGGATAGGCAGGTAGAGATCGGACAGGGGATAGGCAGGTAGAGATCGGACGGGGGATAGGCAGGTAGAGATCGGACAGGGGATAGGCAGGTAGAGATCGGACGGGGGATAGGCAGGTAGAGATCGGACGGGGGATAGGCAGGTAGAGATCGGACAGGGGATAGGCAGGTAGAGATCGGACAGGGGATAGGCAGGTAGAGATCGGACAGGGGATAGGCAGGTAGAGATCGGACAGGGGATAGGCAGGTAGAGATCGGACAGGGGATAGGCAGGTAGAGATCGGACAGGGGATAGGCAGGTAGAGATCGGACAGGGGATAGGCAGGTAGAGATCGGACAGGGGATAGGCAGGTAGAGATCGGACAGGGGATAGGCAGGTAGAGATCGGACGGGGGATAGGCAGGTAGAGATCGGACAGGGGATAGGCAGGTAGAGATCGGACAGGGGATAGGCAGGTAGAGATCGGACGGGGGATAGGCAGGTAGAGATCGGACAGGGGATAGGCAGGTAGAGATCGGACGGGGGATAGGCAGGTAGAGATCGGACAGGGGATAGGCAGGTAGAGATCGGACAGGGGATAGGCAGGTAGAGATCGGACAGGGGATAGGCAGGTAGAGATCGGACAGGGGATAGGCAGGTAGAGATCGGACAGGGGATAGGCAGGTAGAGATCGGACAGGGGATAGGCAGGTAGAGATCGGACGGGGGATAGGCAGGTAGAGATCGGACAGGGGATAGGCAGGTAGAGATCGGACAGGGGATAGGCAGGTAGAGCTCGGACAGGGGATAGGCAGGTAGAGATCGGACAGGGGATAGGCAGGTAGAGATCGGACGGGGGATAGGCAGGTAGAGATCGGACAGGGGATAGGCAGGTAGAGATCGGACAGGGGTTAGGCAGGTAGAGATCGGACGGGGGATAGGCAGGTAGAGTTCGGACAGGGGATAGGCAGGTAGAGATCGGACAGGGGATAGGCAGGTAGAGATCGGACGGGGGATAGGCAGGTAGAGATCGGACAGGGGATAGGCAGGTAGAGATCGGACAGGGGATAGGCAGGTAGAGATCGGACAGGGGATAGGCAGGTAGAGATCGGACAGGGGATAGGCAGGTAGAGATCGGACAGGGGATAGGCAGGTAGAGATCGGACAGGGGATAGGCAGGTAGAGATCGGACGGGGGATAGGCAGGTAGAGATCGGACAGGGGATAGGCAGGTAGAGATCGGACAGGGGATAGGCAGGTAGAGATCGGACAGGGGATAGGCAGGTAGAGATCGGACAGGGGATAGGCAGGTAGAGATCGGACAGGGGATAGGCAGGTAGAGATCGGACAGGGGATAGGCAGGTAGAGATCGGACGGGGGATAGGCAGGTAGAGATCGGACAGGGGATAGGCAGGTAGAGATCGGACAGGGGATAGGCAGGTAGAGATCGGACAGGGGATAGGCAGGTAGAGATCGGACGGGGGATAGGCAGGTAGAGATCGGACAGGGGATAGGCAGGTAGAGATCGGACAGGGGATAGGCAGGTAGAGATCGGACAGGGGATAGGCAGGTAGAGATCGGACAGGGGATAGGCAGGTAGAGATCGGACGGGGGATAGGCAGGTAGAGATCGGACAGGGGATAGGCAGGTAGAGATCGGACGGGGGATAGGCAGGTAGAGTTCGGACAGGGGATAGGCAGGTAGAGATCGGACAGGGGATAGGCAGGTAGAGATCGGACGGGGGATAGGCAGGTAGAGATCGGACAGGGGATAGGCAGGTAGAGATCGGACAGGGGATAGGCAGGTAGAGATCGGACAGGGGATAGGCAGGTAGAGATCGGACAGGGGATAGGCAGGTAGAGATCGGACAGGGGATAGGCAGGTAGAGATCGGACGGGGGATAGGCAGGTAGAGATCGGACAGGGGATAGGCAGGTAGAGATCGGACAGGGGATAGGCAGGTAGAGATCGGACAGGGGATAGGCAGGTAGAGATCGGACAGGGGATAGGCAGGTAGAGATCGGACAGGGGATAGGCAGGTAGAGATCGGACAGGGGATAGGCAGGTAGAGATCGGACGGGGGATAGGCAGGTAGAGATCGGACAGGGGATAGGCAGGTAGAGATCGGACAGGGGATAGGCAGGTAGAGATCGGACAGGGGATAGGCAGGTAGAGATCGGACAGGGGATAGGCAGGTAGAGATCGGACAGGGGATAGGCAGGTAGAGATCGGACAGGGGATAGGCAGGTAGAGATCGGACAGGGGATAGGCAGGTAGAGATCGGACAGGGGATAGGCAGGTAGAGATCGGACAGGGGATAGGCAGGTAGAGTTCGGACAGGGGATAGGCAGGTAGAGATCGGACAGGGGATAGGCAGGTAGAGATCGGACGGGGGATAGGCAGGTAGAGATCGGACAGGGGATAGGCAGGTAGAGATCGGACAGGGGATAGGCAGGTAGAGATCGGACAGGGGATAGGCAGGTAGAGATCGGACAGGGGATAGGCAGGTAGAGATCGGACAGGGGATAGGCAGGTAGAGATCGGACGGGGATAGGCAGGTAGAGATCGGACAGGGGATAGGCAGGTAGAGATCGGACAGGGGATAGGCAGGTAGAGATCGGACAGGGGATAGGCAGGTAGAGATCGGACAGGGGATAGGCAGGTAGAGATCAGACGGGGGATAGGCAGGTAGAGATCGGACAGGGGATAGGCAGGTAGAGATCGGACAGGGGATAGGCAGGTAGAGATCGGACAGGGGATAGGCAGGTAGAGATCGGACGGGGGATAGGCAGGTAGAGATCGGACAGGGGATAGGCAGGTAGAGATCGGACGGGGGATAGGCAGGTAGAGATCGGACAGGGGATAGGCAGGTAGAGATCGGACAGGGGATAGGCAGGTAGAGATCGGACAGGGGATAGGCAGGTAGAGATCGGACAGGGGATAGGCAGGTAGAGATCGGACAGGGGATAGGCAGGTAGAGATCGGACAGGGGATAGGCAGGTAGAGATCGGACAGGGGATAGGCAGGTAGAGATCGGACAGGGGATAGGCAGGTAGAGATCGGACGGGGGATAGGCAGGTAGAGATCGGACAGGGGATAGGCAGGTAGAGATCGGACGGGGGATAGGCAGGTAGAGATCGGACAGGGGATAGGCAGGTAGAGATCGGACAGGGGATAGGCAGGTAGAGATCGGACAGGGGATAGGCAGGTAGAGATCGGACAGGGGATAGGCAGGTAGAGATCGGACAGGGGATAGGCAGGTAGAGATCGGACAGGGGATAGGCAGGTAGAGATCGGACAGGGGATAGGCAGGTAGAGATCGGACAGGGGATAGGCAGGTAGAGATCGGACAGGGGATAGGCAGGTAGAGATCGGACAGGGGATAGGCAGGTAGAGATCGGACAGGGGATAGGCAGGTAGAGATCGGACAGGGGATAGGCAGGTAGAGATCGGACAGGGGATAGGCAGGTAGAGATCGGACGGGGGATAGGCAGGTAGAGATCGGACAGGGGATAGGCAGGTAGAGATCGGACGGGGGATAGGCAGGTAGAGATCGGACAGGGGATAGGCAGGTAGAGATCGGACAGGGGATAGGCAGGTAGAGATCGGACAGGGGATAGGCAGGTAGAGATCGGACAGGGGATAGGCAGGTAGAGATCGGACAGGGGATAGGCAGGTAGAGATCGGACGGGGGATAGGCAGGTAGAGATCGGACAGGGGATAGGCAGGTAGAGATCGGACAGGGGATAGGCAGGTAGAGATCGGACAGGGGATAGGCAGGTAGAGATCGGACAGGGGATAGGCAGGTAGAGATCGGACAGGGGATAGGCAGGTAGAGATCGGACAGGGGATAGGCAGGTAGAGATCGGACAGGGGATAGGCAGGTAGAGATCGGACAGGGGATAGGCAGGTAGAGATCGGACAGGGGATAGGCAGGTAGAGATCGGACAGGGGATAGGCAGGTAGAGATCGGACAGGGGATAGGCAGGTAGAGATCGGACGGGGGATAGGCAGGTAGAGATCGGACAGGGGATAGGCAGGTAGAGATCGGACAGGGGATAGGCAGGTAGAGATCGGACAGGGGATAGGCAGGTAGAGATCGGACAGGGGATAGGCAGGTAGAGATCGGACAGGGGATAGGCAGGTAGAGATCGGACAGGGGATAGGCAGGTAGAGATCGGACAGGGGATAGGCAGGTAGAGATCGGACAGGTAATGAAGAACAGTGTCCTCCCAACGCCTGCATTTCACTCACCTCGTGTCTGGGCAGCTTGTCAATGAGCGCCTTGGCTCGCCCCACCACCGCCTGCACTGCAGACACCACCGGGTTACCCGTGGCAACTGGCGCCTGCACCTGCTGCTGCTGCTGCCCCACCGCCCCCACTGCTGACCCTAGTGCCGCTGCTTCCTGCGTGGCGGCGTCCCCTGCGGCCCCAGCCAGTCCCCGTCCCTGCACGGCGTCCATCTGCACCACTGTAGCGCGAGGTGTGTGCCCTCCTGCCCTGTGCACCATGCGCGCTTTGAGTGCCACGCCGCTGGGGTGGGAAAGGGAGAGAGAGGAGCAGAGTGAGCAGCGATGATAGGGGAAGGGAGAGGAGGTGGGAAGGCAAGGCAGGCGTCATGCAGCACGAGGGACGAGGAGGCCGAGTCTGCAGCACACATGCCGCCTGGCGCACAGGGCCAGTTTTGGCCCGGAAGCAGCAGAGGAGTGCATGGGAGCGGCACAACAAGCAAGCATGGCAGCAGCACACGGCACTGACCCGAGGAGGAGCACGGTGAGCGCGAGCAGCAGCTTGGGCAGGTGGCGCAGCAGCGAGGGCAGTGCGGATCGCACCCACTTGAGCGCATCCTCCACCTCGTGCCCGTCCGCTGAGAAGAATGACGCTGAGAAGAACTGCGATGACTTCTTGGTGGGAGATGAGGCGGAGGAGGACGAGGAAGAAGAGGAGGAGGAGGAGGAGGAGGGTGATTTGGAAGAGGGGCCGGAGGAGGGGCCAGCAGCTTCATCCGAGCCGGGGACTGCTGCTGCTGCTGCTGTTTCCTCCTCCTCCCCAGCTCCCACCTCCCCTGAATCACCCTTGATCGCATCTCCAGCAGCAGTGCCTGCAGGGGCGCTGGGTGCCAGATCAGCCTCCCTTCCCTTTATCCCCCCCTCCTTCAAGCCATCCTTAACCCCATCCTTCCGCACGTCCTTCTCTCCCTCATCGACCGCCGCACTTCGCCCAACCCCTCGCTCCTCCCCTGCTGCCTCCTCTGCTCCAGCCTCCATCCCCTTCTTCCCCTTATCCTCTGCCTTCCCCACCGCCTCTGCAACGACCCCTCCCACATCCTCCCTCGCCTCCCCTTCCTTCACACCCTTTCCTTCCAGATCAGACTTAGTAACCAACTCACTACCCGCGTCCCTATCAGAGTCCTTATCAGAGTCCCTGTCAGAGTCGCTATCGGAGTCAGTGGTGGGCATGCCAGCAGCGGCCCGCCCGCCCTTCACAGTGGCGCGCAGCGCGGCTGACACGCCCGCCACCTCGCTCGCCAGCAGCGCCTCCTTCTCCGCGCCCAGCTTCGCTGCCTCCGCCTCCGCCTGGGATAGGGGGGGAACGGGGGAGGGGAAGGAGGGGGGAGGAGAAGGAACGCGAAGCAGAAGCAGTGTTGAGGGGATAGAGAGGTTACGAGTGACGCAGGGAGGTGATTAGAGTGGCTTCCCGCCAGGGGTTCCGGTTCTTAGCACTGGACTACACCCCCCTGCCCCTACCCCACACACACCTTGGCGATATCAGTAACCAGTTTCTCCGCCCTCGCCAACGCCTTGGCGGCCTCCGCCACGCTCTGAGTCGCCTCCAGTTCGAACGCCACCGCCCTCTCCGCCACGCCCATGCGCTCCCCCACCTCCTCCTCCGCCTGCCCCGCGCGCGCCCGTGCCTCCCTCGCTGCCGCCACCAGCGCGGACGCCTCCTCCTGCGCCCTCACCCGCCTTTCAGCCGAGCGCGTTGCTGCCTCCGTCCGCGCTCTCAGTTCCGCCTCCCGCCGCGCAAGCTCCTCCCGCACCTCCTGCACCAAGTTAACCACGCCCGACCGCAAGCTTTCCCCCTCCTGAACCCCCTGTTCCGCCATCCCCGCCATCCCCGCCATCCCCGCCATCCCCGCCATCCCCGCCATCCCCGCCTCCACCGCCTGTTGCTGCGCCTCCGCTGCCACCAGCACCTCCGCCTGCTCGTGAAACGCCGCCTCAGCCTGCCGCAGCGCATCCTGCGCCAGTGTCTCCTCCGCCAGCTCCGCCTCCACCTGCGCCATCGCGGCATCCGCGGCGGCTTCCGCCTTGGCGGCGGCGTCGGAGATCTCTATGGCGCGTTCCGCCACTCTGCGCGCCTCCTCCTCCGTCTCTACGGTCCGCGCGCACGCCTTTTCCAGCTCCGCCTCCGCCGCGCGCAGAAGCTCGCGGAGCTTATCCAGCGCGGACGATCCCCCGCCGCCGCTGCTGCTACTGCTACTGGAGGTTTTGGTGCGCGCAATTGGCTCAGCGGTAAGTGATCCTGGTGTGAGGAGAGGAGTTCAAGACGGCGTAGCGATGCACTCGACCGTTCATGAATCATACCACACTGATCCGCGAGGGAAGCTAAGGAATGTGCGAAATGTAAGAAGTCTAACAGCAAGAGGTCAATGCTTTCATTGAGAGAGACGGGCACTGGGTACTTACCTTGCGACGACGAGCTCGCAGGTTCCGCCGCCGTGCCGACAGTCTCAGCGGAGGCGGTGTAATCAACTCCGCCATCGCCGTCGGCAGCTGCACGCACGGCGACGTGCTGACGTGGACGAGTGGATCGTGAGTTTGGTGCTGGTGCTGCTGTGAGTGTTGCTGCGGATGGGAATGCGGAACGAGCGATCTGCGAGTTTAAGCGACGATCGGCGGCGCTGTGCGAGGCAATGTGACCGTGCGGAGAGGAATTGGATGCATTGCGGCGACGAGCGCGTTGCGAGGGTCGTGGCGTCGCGAGGAACGATCGCGCTGTTTCGGACGCGCTGACTGAACCCGCGAGACTAACGGGATGCATCGCGATCGCGTAGTATCGTCCCTAGGAAACTGTTTTGCATGCGATGGAGGATCGAGGGAAAAAAGACGGAATGCTGCACGCGAACTGGCTAATGATGAGCCAAGTTCCTGAGCATGGCGGCTCCCTAGCAGCAATCGCTCTGAAAAATAAGTGGCTAAAAAACTCCCAAGGTTAGAGGATCAAGCGAGCAGCGACGCAAAACTCCCGCGTGGTTAGTTGTGCCAAGGCAACAGCCGACTGGCTGGTGATCATGCTGACTGGGCAGCAGAAGGCGAAAAGGAACGAGCCACGCTGACGGGCAGGGATTGGCTGGGCGGAACCGTGGCTGGATGGCGGCACGAAAGAGTTGGAGAGCGGAGGAGATGAAATACACGCGAGGGGAATATGCCAAACGCGGAACATTTTGAAGCCTTCCAGCAGTGTCGGCAAATTTGCTTGTCATTCGTATATCGATGTTTACGATAACTGGCTGCGCTGTATACTCGTTGCCAGCACGAGGTGTATGGTAGCGAGTATGACTCGTCGCCACTCTTCCTGAAGTCTCCAGCGTTCCACAGTGCTCAGTGTTCCATAACCTTCGAATCCCACGCGGTGGAGCCCTCTTTGCGTGCAGCCGACATGCAGAACAGCAATACCACGGCGCTCTTCCGTTTGAAGCATTGTTGCCATTCGACGTTCTCCCGGACTCAACGCGGCGTAGAAGAGTTTCAGTCCGCGTCTTTTAGGAAACGAGACCCTAGTAGCACCTGAGTGCCGTAGCAGCGAGTTGCTGTAGCGTCTGTCGCGTCGGCAAGCGCGGCCCTTGGTCGCTCCGTCGTATCCCGCGGTTCACCTCGCCGGCCGCTTCCCGGCCTCCATGGTACGCCAGTCAAGGCGACGCGCGTTACTTCGCTCCTCCTCGCGCTGATGCATCGTTCTGCGACGCCAGACGTCCGCGAGTTCATTCAGCGAATTTCTGAGCCCACTCTTTCCCTTATCCTCTCAACGTCCCCACCCATCCAGGTCTTTCACTTATTGTTCCCCCTCTTTTTTGTCCCCTCTTCCCCGCCTTCTCTCTTCCCCTCTCTCCCCCCAAACACCCGTCCGCCGCCAGTCGATGTACGTGCGGGCCAAGCGGCGGGCGACCACCTACTTCCTCTACTGCGAGCCTTCGCAGAAGGTGCTGCAGGTGAAGCAGAACCTGGAGGTGCTGTGCGGGCAGGCGGCGGGCGACATTCGGCTGGTTGTGCTGCACAGCAACGCCGTGCTGGACGACAACAGATCGCTGGCGGAACAGCGGGTAAGGAGGATGCGAGTCACCTGTGTGTTTTGAGTCGATTCAACGGTCACCTGATTCTGTTGCACAGCAAAGCCGTGCTTGACGACAACCGCACGCTAGCGGGGCAGCGGGTAAGGAGGATGTCAGATGACCCCTGAGTCGAGTTTTGATTCAGCTTCAAAGTCATTGCATGCTGGACGACAACCGAACGCTGGTGGAGCAGCGGGTGAGGACTCGAGTCAGCTATGGGTGCTTCTGAGTCGACTAGATAATCTAGGCCTGTCCTGGATGCTGACGGAATGGTGGTGGAGCAGCGAGTAGGGAGGGCGCGCAACCCTGCAGCAAGAAGCAGAGGGGAATGGCTTGGCGTGAACACCAAGGTTGCACCACACTTGTGCTTCCCCGTGTGCCCCCTGTGTGCTTCCCCGTGTGCCCCCTGTGTGCTTCCCCGTGTGCCCCCTGTGTGCTTCCCCGTGTGCAAGCTGTGTGCTTCCCCATGTATTTTTTGATGTGGCAGCTTCCCATCCCATTTTTTGCATCCATGCATCCATTCCTCTATCCGTGTCTCATGCATGCATGCATGTGGCAGGTGGAGAACGATGCAGTGGTGGCACTCACATACCGCCTCTCAGGTCCGCCCCTCCTCTCTGCTTGTCACCTTCTCTCTCACACCACATGTTTCTCATCACAATTAGTGTGCCTTCCGTAATCCGCCTTCCTTCCCCACTGTCCAACTTCCCTCCTGTCACCATACCCTACCCCCCTTCCCTCCCATCGTGTCATGTGTCTCCCCGCGTGCCTGTATGTGTATATGCAGATGATGAGTGGGAGCCAGTATGCATAGACAAGCCTGATGATGGCACAGCAGACATGGACCACATGGGCTGACACTGGATGTTCACCGCATGGGCTGACTGACATGTGTGCTTGACATTGGAGGCCTTGATTATTCCATCTTCTGTGGCCGACCTTAAAGATGAAGGCCCAAATTGTTCAACCTTACTAAGGTTGCCCTTTGGGTGGCGGGAGAGGAAGGTTGACTTTTTTTAAGTTGGGCTGTTCAGTTTCGCCCAGCTTCGTGCTACACCCTCAGGGTTTTCGCCGACTCGGCAAACCCCAGGGAGGGAGCAACTCGGTTTGGTTCTCAAGTCCCAAATTGCACTCACAATATTCTTGGTGTTTCCTTCTCTCCTATTCGACAAAAAACTGTCGGCCAATCAAATTGCATCGCACTTCTCGTAACCACAATTCGCAACCAAACAACACTCAAAACACCACTCATCAACTTTAGTAAGCTTGCCCTGCGCGCGCTGCAATTTGGGCCTTGAGCTTTAACTAGGGCTAGTCTGTCCGGTGGTGGGAAATTGGGAATATGGGGGAGACATGAAGCTGTAATAAAGCTCCCTTGTTTCCACCACCGCACTGCAATATATGTTGGGTTGGGGCACATGATCTTAATACAAAGGAGAGTACAGCATGCAATTATTGGCAACATAGAATTACAAAAGGGACTTGCTAAAACCCAACCATTTATTTCGAGGAGCATATTCATGACTAGACCTCCGCAGCTTTGCCTTAACCCTTGGGGCTATCCGCCAGGTCAGCTCCACTGCAGTCTGCGTAATCTTGGCTATCGTCCACCTCATCTTTACTCTCATCCTCGTTGTACTCATCTGGTGCTACCTTGTTGTTGAGAGCAAGATTCTGCAGCAACGAGAAAGGGCAGGGAGGGGAGTGACACAATCTGATACGTTGTGAAACCAACCTTGTGAAAGGAAAGACTGTCACGCATTCAGCTGGCAGTCTGTAAGGAAGATAGGGCTGTGAGCAACACACGTAGTGCACCTTGCACATGGGATGGCAGAACAGAGCACTGCACTATTGCACATGGATGTTTCAGACTCGGTGGGAGGAACAGCACCCACCTTGCGCATGGCTTCGATGTTGTCCTTCTCAATGCGGCGCACATCGTCCATCGTGAGCTCACACCACTCGTCCATCCACCCATAGCACTTTCGGTGCCCCTCCAGAAACAACGCTCTCTCTCCCTGCCCGCCCAGTAGGGGAAAGGGAAGAGGAGAGGGGAGAAGAGGAGAGGAGAGGAGAGGAAAGGAGAGCACAGAGAAGAGAGGAAGGAGAGAACAGAAGCAAGCAAGCAAGCATGAGGCTAGCCATCGCCATGTGGTTTTGAACGCATTAACATTGCAAAGGGAGCAATATGGGAGAGAACAGAGCAAGCAAGCAAGCATAAGCACAATGCGGTTCTTGGTCAGGCAAACTGGTGATCACGGCGAGGTGAGCGAGGTGCAACTGGAGGCGGGGGAGGGAAGAGAGCTTACAGCGAGTACAAAGAGCTCTAGCCTCTTGCCGAAGCCCCAGTAGGGCGCGTCCACCGTGACCATCTTGTATGCCGTCATCACCGGCTCACATGCCTCCTGCTCCCCACCGTTGACACACCAAAGCACACCAAGCGAGAGGGGGAGAGGAATTGTGAGTTGACTCAAAAGCCATCTTGTATGCCGTCATCACTGGCTCACATGCCTCCTGCTCTCGACCGTTGCCAGTGTGCCACACACCAAGGTGTGGGTGAGGACAAGGGGGAGAGGGGAGGCGGAAATGGGGAGAGGGGAGACGACAGGGGAGAGGAGGGGGCGAAGAGGGGGGGCAGTATACGCATTAGCGCAGGATGCTGGATGCATGATGGGGAAAGCAGAGGTGCAGGAGACAGCTTGCCAAGAGGAATCAGAGATGCACTGAGAGGAGGAAGGAGCAAGAGGTCAATGAGCAGCACAGCACAGCAGCACAGCACAGGACAGCACATACCTGCCAGCCTGGAGCGAGGGGGCCGCGCTTGGCTTTGGGGAGGGCGAGCTTGGAGGGGTCGACACCGGACTTGGCGATGAGGCGCGTCCACATGTCCCGCTCGTGGCTCGCTATGTCCACCCTCTCCACCTTGCGCTGCTTCAACTGCTCCTCACTTAGACCCAACGCCTGGAAGCGAGGGGAAGGGAGAGGGGACGGGGGAAAGGGGGAAAGGAGGAACACAGGGAGAAGGAAAGATTGGGAAACACGTGAAGTTAGAGAAGGAATAAGATCGGCAGAGAAAGCGAGAAATGGAGGAATGAGAGCGCCATGCTATCTGAATCAACTTGCTTTGCTAGGGCCCCATGACTCGCATGCTCAATGACTTATGGGCATCACCCACATGTACCAAGCCATCTCCCAATGACTTCCCCCAGGTCTTCCTGCCATGCCTCCCCCCCGTGCCTCCCCACCATGCCCGCCCCCAACGGGACTCACGTTTTCGGAGTCGCCTCGGTCAGCGAGGTGTATGGACTCGATGGTGATGGCGAACTTGGTGAGGTACGGGCACTGCGGGCCAGGGGTGGCAGGGGGATGCAGGGAGGTGTGGCGTGGGTGCGCATGTGGCAGGAGGTGTGGCGTGGGTGCGCATGTGGCAGGAGGTGTGGCGTGGGTGCGCATGTGGCAGGAGGTGTGGCGTGGGTGCGCATGTGGCAGGAGGTGTGGCGTGGGTGCGCATGTGGCAGGAGGTGTGGCGTGGGTGCGCATGTGGCAGGAGGTGTGGCGTGGGTGCGCATGTGGCAGGAGGTGTGGCGTGGGTGCGCATGTGGCAGGAGGTGTGGCGTGGGTGCGCATGTGGCAGGAGGTGTGGCGTGGGTGCGCATGTGGCAGGAGGTGTGGCGTGGGTGCGCATGTGGCAGGAGGTGTGGCGTGGGTGCGCATGTGGCAGGAGGTGTGGCGTGGGTGCGCATGTGGCAGGAGGTGTGGCGTGGGTGCGCATGTGGCAGGAGGTGTGGCGTGGGTGCGCATGTGGCAGGAGGTGTGGCGTGGGTGCGCATGTGGCAGGAGGTGTGGCGTGGGTGCGCATGTGGCAGGAGGTGTGGCGTGGGTGCGCATGTGGCAGGAGGTGTGGCGTGGGTGCGCATGTGGCAGGAGGTGTGGCGTGGGTGCGCATGTGGCAGGAGGTGTGGCGTGGGTGCGCATGTGGCAGGAGGTGTGGCGTGGGTGCGCATGTGGCAGGAGGTGTGGCGTGGGTGCGCATGTGGCAGGAGGTGTGGCGTGGGTGCGCATGTGGCAGGAGGTGTGGCGTGGGTGCGCATGTGGCAGGAGGTGTGGCGTGGGTGCGCATGTGGCAGGAGGTGTGGCGTGGGTGCGCATGTGGCAGGAGGTGTGGCGTGGGTGCGCATGTGGCAGGAGGTGTGGCGTGGGTGCGCATGTGGCAGGAGGTGTGGCGTGGGTGCGCATGTGGCAGGAGGTGTGGCGTGGGTGCGCATGTGGCAGGAGGTGTGGCGTGGGTGCGCATGTGGCAGGAGGTGTGGCGTGGGTGCGCATGTGGCAGGAGGTGTGGCGTGGGTGCGCATGTGGCAGGAGGTGTGGCGTGGGTGCGCATGTGGCAGGAGGTGTGGCGTGGGTGCGCATGTGGCAGGAGGTGTGGCGTGGGTGCGCATGTGGCAGGAGGTGTGGCGTGGGTGCGCATGTGGCAGGAGGTGTGGCGTGGGTGCGCATGTGGCAGGAGGTGTGGCGTGGGTGCGCATGTGGCAGGAGGTGTGGCGTGGGTGCGCATGTGGCAGGAGGTGTGGCGTGGGTGCGCATGTGGCAGGAGGTGTGGCGTGGGTGCGCATGTGGCAGGAGGTGTGGCGTGGGTGCGCATGTGGCAGGAGGTGTGGCGTGGGTGCGCATGTGGCAGGAGGTGTGGCGTGGGTGCGCATGTGGCAGGAGGTGTGGCGTGGGTGCGCATGTGGCAGGAGGTGTGGCGTGGGTGCGCATGTGGCAGGAGGTGTGGCGTGGGTGCGCATGTGGCAGGAGGTGTGGCGTGGGTGCGCATGTGGCAGGAGGTGTGGCGTGGGTGCGCATGTGGCAGGAGGTGTGGCGTGGGTGCGCATGTGGCAGGAGGTGTGGCGTGGGTGCGCATGTGGCAGGAGGTGTGGCGTGGGTGCGCATGTGGCAGGAGGTGTGGCGTGGGTGCGCATGTGGCAGGAGGTGTGGCGTGGGTGCGCATGTGGCAGGAGGTGTGGCGTGGGTGCGCATGTGGCAGGAGGTGTGGCGTGGGTGCGCATGTGGCAGGAGGTGTGGCGTGGGTGCGCATGTGGCAGGAGGTGTGGCGTGGGTGCGCATGTGGCAGGAGGTGTGGCGTGGGTGCGCATGTGGCAGGAGGTGTGGCGTGGGTGCGCATGTGGCAGGAGGTGTGGCGTGGGTGCGCATGTGGCAGGAGGTGTGGCGTGGGTGCGCATGTGGCAGGAGGTGTGGCGTGGGTGCGCATGTGGCAGGAGGTGTGGCGTGGGTGCGCATGTGGCAGGAGGTGTGGCGTGGGTGCGCATGTGGCAGGAGGTGTGGCGTGGGTGCGCATGTGGCAGGAGGTGTGGCGTGGGTGCGCATGTGGCAGGAGGTGTGGCGTGGGTGCGCATGTGGCAGGAGGTGTGGCGTGGGTGCGCATGTGGCAGGAGGTGTGGCGTGGGTGCGCATGTGGCAGGAGGTGTGGCGTGGGTGCGCATGTGGCAGGAGGTGTGGCGTGGGTGCGCATGTGGCAGGAGGTGTGGCGTGGGTGCGCATGTGGCAGGAGGTGTGGCGTGGGTGCGCATGTGGCAGGAGGTGTGGCGTGGGTGCGCATGTGGCAGGAGGTGTGGCGTGGGTGCGCATGTGGCAGGAGGTGTGGCGTGGGTGCGCATGTGGCAGGAGGTGTGGCGTGGGTGCGCATGTGGCAGGAGGTGTGGCGTGGGTGCGCATGTGGCAGGAGGTGTGGCGTGGGTGCGCATGTGGCAGGAGGTGTGGCGTGGGTGCGCATGTGGCAGGAGGTGTGGCGTGGGTGCGCATGTGGCAGGAGGTGTGGCGTGGGTGCGCATGTGGCAGGAGGTGTGGCGTGGGTGCGC